TTTTTTTTTTTTTTTTTTTTTTTGACAAAAGACTCTTTGAGCCCTTGTTTGTGTGCCTTACAGCTGATGGAGTCCAGGGCTCAGATGTGCACATATGAGACCATAGCAAAAATCAAATAAATCACTAAGATTCTGATTAATGAGCAATACTGTTAAAAAATAGACTTTAGACTTAAATATTAGCCAGTTCTATACCTTCCAATAAGAGTGCTAATATTCCTTCTGAGTAACAGAAGCTAAGAGTTTTCATTTTCCAGATTTATACAACTAGTTAATGGTAAAGTGATTAGAGCACAGCCTTCTGTGCCCTGTGCTCTTCCTCTTCAATGGCCTTTGTGGTGGAACTTCACAAACTGGAGAGCTCCAGTTTTACAGAGTTTTCCTGATATCTCCTGATACAAGTCTCCTGCATCCCAACGTTGCCATTCCAGTCGATCTGTCTCCTTCCAGGACTATTGGAGTAAGCTGGCTGCACACTCTGGAAGGGGCTTTCATTTTTTGAAGCAGAAATTGTTTCATAGGAACAGTGCGAGATATGTTTTTTACTAGGAAACCCTGTTTTATGAAGTACCAAGAAGTTTAGGCATTTCCTAAAACAAATCTCTTCCAATTTCATAAGTTGAGTGACTTCATTGGATTTCTTTCCCTAAATGCTGACATTCTCTTTAATGCCATTCTGCTGTGATTTCACAGATTCTCTGCATGGGAGACCACAGACAGATAGGCATAATCTTAAAATAGATGTGAAAGAAGGCAACAAGCTGAACTTTACAATCATCTTATGCCATTAGGGGTAAGGTATATGGGGAAATAGTGAGACTTAGAAATAATTTTATGTTTTTTATTGTACTCAGGTTCATCAAAGATGTCTTTTTGCTTTAAGATAATTTCAATATTGTGCATATTCTTTTTTTTCAATCACTGAAAAAAGTTGAAAAATAAGAATGATTGATATCCATAGACTTCTAGTTATAAGCAACTAAAAAAAATGTACTGAGTATCTTGAATTCTGAGTCAGAATGACAAATTCTCTTTTGAAGTTAATTAATGTCACATCTTATCCACAATATTCTAAATTAAGATTAGTATCAAAAGAGAAAACCTTTTTTTAGCTCATGATAGTGATTGAATAAAAAAATACATCAGATTTTATTTTTTTAATTATTCATCTCCACCCCTACTCTTCTATTCTGTATCCCACTAATTATTGAAGTTGTCTCATAACAGGGTTTTCAACCATCTGTCCGGCAACCCCCTCCTTCCACCTACCCAGAAGTTTAAGTTACAGAAAAACTGCTTCAGAGTAACTGCTCTAAAATAGCGGTTCTCAAATGTTAGGGTGCATCAGAGTCACGTGGAGGATTTTAAAAACAGATTCTGAGCCCCTCTGTTAGAGTTTCTGATTCAGTAAGTTTAAGTGGAGCCTAAGTATTTTCATTTTTAACTAATTTCCATGGGATGCTAATTGGGCTGGCTCCTGAAACATACATTCAGAATTACTGTTCTAAAACATAAAACTGGTCATGTCACCATCCTGCAAAAAAATCCTTTTGTGGCTCCTCATGCTACCATAGAGCTAGCTAACCTTGAAATCTTAGCAAAAGTTAACTAACAATAAAGTAGAAATTTATATACTTGTGAAATCACACAGCTTTGCTCAAGTCTCTTGGCAGGGCACAGTGTTCCTGTTTTCAGTAACGACCAGGTGTGCAGACTCGCCAGCCAACCATAGCAGAGCAAGATTAGTATCAGGAACAGGATGACCAGCCAAGTCAAGCTGCATGTCTGCAGAAAAATCCCCTGCTGCTCCCCCCAACCCAATTCCCATTTCCCTTTTACCCTATTAATTATCTGGCTTGACCAGAGCTGTTAGGATGGGCTTTAGGATAGGATTCCCCATGCTGTCAAGTTGCTGGCACTTGAATAAACCACTTTCATTCTCACCAGCACCTGTCTCATTCATGAGTTGGACTTTTGTTGTGTCAGGAAACTGAACTTGGGTTTAGTTTCTGCATTCACTCACTCCCCATAGTTTAAGTTCCTTAACATGGCTCACATAACTCATCATCTGGGTTATTTCCTCACTCTTGTTTTATCTCACTCTATCCCCTGCCTCAAGTGGTGTGTTGATAATGATATTTAATATCTGGCTATTCACTGTTCTCCCCCCAACACATAGACATGTATGTGTGTGTGCTTATGTGCATGTAAATAGACATATGATTATTTTACTGCTATAAACAATGTATAATCATAATTTACAAAAAAATAATATACAATAATTTTTATTATAAATTTCATATAACCAATTACTTATTATAGAATACTTTTGTTGAATTTTCACTGAACTTTTTTTTATCTGTAATCATATACAGTCTATTTCACATATTCTTTTTTTATTTCTTAATTTATTTGACAGCCCTTTACAATTTTTTCTTAACATACAGGTTGGAGGATGACAGGCTTTAAGTCACACTTGGCCTACAGGTTGTAGTTAGTCCATTAGTGGTTTAGACAATCAATAAAACAAATCAAAACGTGATTTATAATATTTTCCAATATCCCTGGTGAAAATATCTCCACCATGGTGGATTTCAAGCTGTCATAGGAATGTTACTGAACATGGGATTGGGAAGAAATGTACTGTAACAGCCCAATAGAATGCATTCCCACCACACAGTTACAGCCTTGAGTACATATAGATAGATGGAGTGGTAGAAAGATACAGATAGATGTAATATAGTAAAATAAGAAACAATAAATGTATTACCTTTTAAAATACTCCATTTAATTCTAAGTTTATATAACTTAATTTTTAATAATGGCTGTGCTTACCAGCCAGCTTACAAAATTCCTGAAATTCCAGTTCGCCCATATGAGTCAGTAGCAGCTGGCACCAACACAACTGTTTAAAACCCTATAAAGAATGGACTGTGACAGCTATGCCCTGTGCTCTGCAGTGGGGTCTCTGGCCTGACCTACCTTTCTAACCTTCTTCATCGTGCCAAACCTACACTTCATTTGAGATTTAGCAGTGTCTCCTGCTGGAAGCCCGTGGCCATCTTTTTAATTTGAGCTAAGTGCCCTCTCCCCAGGAATCACCAACCACAGTGAGCAATAATGCTCTCCACCATAGCTTTCACCTCCTTGCTCTGCACCAGCTATTCCAGGTCTGCTGGTTGTTAGACTGTAAGCTTCTCCAACTGAACTCTGCCTCAGTAATCTCTAATTTTATTGCCTAGAGCAGAGCCTGGTATACAGTAGAGGCACGACACATATTTTTTGAGTTGAACTACGGCAAAGATGGTTAATTTTTGGCTTCCATTTTGCAGAACTTTGCACAACCTTCTTTGTTTTGTAGCATTGATGCATTGTGCCTCTTCTATAAGAAAGAAAGAACTGTTCATGGGTATTACTCAAAAGTTTGCTTAGGAATGGTAAAGACAAGTGCCAACGGTGCATATTTTAGATTGCTTTGAGTATTTATAATTTCTATTTTATTGAGGTATAATTGATATGTAACCACAGCTAATTGAATTTAATTTTTGAAGAGTGACTGAATTAACCAAGAGACTAAATAGTGTTAAACGGTGCTACAAGCAGGGGAAAAAAAAGAAAAAAGAAGTACAAATGAGACTTGCTGATTTGAAATTTCACACAATTAGCTGATGCCTGTGGGTTACCGCCATTATTTCCAGGGCCTTTTCTCCATGCTCTCTCCAGGACTTCTCCACTGTAGGCTGCCTGGGCTTCAGCGGAAGGGGAGATAAGCCCCAGGGTAAGATTTTTCTCTCTTGCTCTTCTGTTTACTGATTTTCATACTGATCCTGAGCAAGGCACCTGGGGTCTGTAGGGAATATCAACTCACCTCATAGTCGATGTCCAAGGCATCGGCCTCTCCCTTGGACCGGAAGTGCTGCGTGTACTTATCCACAGTGAAGTTCACGAGCTTGCCCACCCTCTCGATGAGGACTGAGTGCCAGTGCCTGTCGTCCAGGAGGCTGCCCAGGGAGGCTGACGGGGGGCCGCCGCTGGGCCGGGCTTTGCTGTCATCTGTGAAGGGGAGAGGAAGACAGGATGGCACCTGTGCCTGAGGGCAGCCTTTAGCACAAGAGTGCCCAAGCAAGGCTGCTTTCTCTATTGTAAAGGCAAAGATGGTTCTCTCTCTGCAGGCCCAGAACTCGGCTGGGCTTGTGAAGGAATTACAAACTTTGCCCACAAATTCCAGGAACAAATTCTAGGTCAATTGATAGACACCCTGCCCCTTCCTAGGCACGAAATGACATATTTTCAGGACCTGAACAATTCAATAATAAAGGAACTTCATCCTAATGGTTACATGAATGATACTGAAAATAGAGGTCATGGTATGTAGAAATAATGCTCATTCTCTCTGTTTGAATGGCTGTTGACTAGAGAAAGTGAACCTTGTCTTGTGCTTCAGAGGAGAGTGACCTGGATAAGCTCACAGTGAGCTAGGTAAGTCTGCAGGCAAAGCCATAGGAAAGGAACTAATCATTTAGCTGTTATTTTCAATTGCCTGCTCTATGAACAGCACTTAAGTAGAAATTTTATAACCTCCATTTTTAATCCTCTAAGGCAAAATTATTATCTGCATTTCACAAAAGAGGAATCTGAGGCTCAGTGAGGTTAAGCTTGCATGCCCCAGAGGTGCATCCAGGGATCCAGTCCAGGTCCATTTGGCCCTTTCCACCTTGCCATGCCATAGAAATTTGTCATATTTTCCTC